CAAAACGAAACGTACGTCTGGCTTGCCAGTTTGTACGCCTGGTATTAGACGAGTTTTTATCACATTAGAGTTTGCCCTAGGAAGACCAGTTGTCTTTTTGGTGATTATGTCAGGATTGCCAAATTATAAGCCGGGTATCTTTTATCATGTCTGGCTTGCGAAATTGTAAGCCTGGTATCTTTGATTATGCCAGGCTTGCCAAATTGTAAGCCTGGTATCTTTGACAAGTTTTTATTACATCAGATGTTGCCCCTAGATGAAACACCAGTTGTCTTTGTGCTGATTGATTTTGAAAAATGGAAAGATGTTCATAATCAATATACTAGACAATTAATTTTATTAAGTACCACGCAATGTTCATTGAAAGATTTCAATGTTATTTACTACTAGTATTTCAATACACATTTATATCAAATATATGAAGATTAGAAAAGGTCCGATTAACCCCAATAGTTATAAGTCGGATAACTTCAGATCATTGGGGCTATTCAGGCTAACAAAATTGTTTTAACTGTTTGAAAACGTCTGATGATACTCCGGTTATTTCAAATCGTGTGTGGTCGTATGCGGTATTTTCATGGAACACGCCGTTTTCTATCATCAAGTAAAGTTGAAAATGCTTGTAAATGATTCTAGAACACACCACGAGTGTTAAAATAAGTCAGAATCACAAGAAAAGGGAAAAATACGTTTGAAATTACGCGATAGTACGAATAGCACGTGTGAATCGAAAATAAGTACGGTGCGAGTGTGTTTAAAATCTGTACTTAATAGATATCACTGGAATACGACTTTGAATTTGAAACATTTCCGTCCTTTAGTAAATACTGTTAAATATATCCATCACATTAATTTTTGAAGGGTCTTAGCTAAAACAAAACACAAGCGTCAGGATGAAACGACTAAACGGAACGAATAACCGATTACTTTTTGTTGTTTATAGTTGATATTGGATTTTGAATTAAAATTACATATTAATATGGATTAGGTAAATCATAAGTTTTGAAAATAACAAGGGCGCCCTATGCAATTTCAATAACAATCATGGCGGAACGTAAACAAACCTCGCGAAATCGAGTTTTCTTTTATTTCTTGCTTATCGTACCGTTACTCGTTATCCGCTGACTATAGTATACAAACCCGAATTCGGGTAACTGCATTTGCTTCTCTGTCTGTTTCATTATAAGACGCAGACGCTATTTTACAAACTTGTTTACGATTATGTCTACAAATCGGTGTTGAGATAAGGCATTGAAGACATAAAATTATAAATCGAAGAAAGGGATACAGAAACACTCCTGAAAACGTTTTATGTTTAGACTTGACCATCCAGCAGTATTGGATTTTTAAAGACTTGGAAGTCTTCTTCAACCAAATTAAAACCAGTCAATCTTAATCTATACGTCAAGACCATCATGTATTATTTGTGAAGTTGATACGGAATATTTATCAACAAGGTCTTGGTATCTTCTGATGAACGTTTTTAGAAAAAGGACGAGACGTTCTTTGATATAACCCTGGTTCATCACCTTACTGCTCAGACACTGGTGACTGATAAGCGCGTCTGGCGTACAGAATTTTAATCATTGTATCTTTGATGAGTTTATTTGAAACGAAAACTCTGCATCTACTCTCACTCAAAATAGAAAGTTAGATCAATAATTCGACCAGGCTCTGCATAAAGGAGATTGGTTCATGCTGGACTCTGAAGATGCTTATATTAAAATTCCAGTGTCCTTCTCACTGAAAATTCCTAAGGTGCTGCGTAAACAGGATTCATTGTCAGTGTAGAATATGCCTTTCGGAATCGTAATTGCTTAAAGAAGATATGCAAAGGCTATTGTAGAAAAAGGGAACGTTTGAGAAGCCATCAAATTCACATGTTTAAATACCTGGATGATTCACTGATAAAGAAATAAATGAAAAGATCAGCTACTTCAACAACAGTGCAAAGCAGATCTGCTCATGGCGGATATAGGATTGATAATAAATTTGAAAAAAGTCCTATCTAATTCTTTCATAAAGGGTTCATATCTAGGGAGGGGCTGTTCTCTCTTCAAATAGGGTTAATTCTCCGCTTTTAAATGATATTCAGGAAGTTATTTGGATTTAATCTTATGTGACTGTTTAGACTCCAGGCGTCTAATACAAGACATATTCATTAGGCGCACTTTACAGTCGTACACTATTTTTTGCAATCTGACCGAGGATTTTTTTTTCTTTTAACACAAGTGTAACAGTTGTTTCTAGACAATCATCACTGGTGACACAATGAAACTATTTTCAAAGGAGTATTAGTACCTTAAAGTTGCTAGGTAACTGACATTCTCTGATGTTGTGGACACAGACGCGATGATTCTGCAGTAGTGCCTTATATCACCAAATAAGGAAGGATAAAATCACCCAGCATGTTTTTTCTTCTTCGGGACATATTTCAGTGGAGTCTCAAATACGATGTTCATCTTCATGCAGCTCATATCCCAGGGCGTTAAAGGGTCCAGGAAACAGTTTATCCCGATGGCAAAATCATGCTAGAATCAATGATAGGAATCTGAATCAATAATCCAGAGAATATTCGACACTTCAGATATTTTGTCGATCTGACAGTTGGAAACAATGTTTGCATATGCCTTTCCTCCACCAATTCTTGTTCCGAAAGTTTTATTGAAAGTGAAGTATGAGGATTGTTTACTTCCCACTGTGACTAGAATTGTAGATAGGTGTTCTTATGTACCACTGAAAATGTCAGTGAGAAAAAGCACGCTCTCTTTAAACAGGGGGCGAAACTTTTCAACAAAGTCCTTAGTTTAAATCTAGCAGAGAATGGCGTTAAATCAGGTAGCTGAAGCAAGTCTTTTAAAGAGATGATTTAAAACTTAATTTTGTGTTCTGGGGGGAATATAAGTGCCACTAAGGTTTCTGTGAAAAGTTGCAATTTGTTTTCTTCATTATTTATTTATTTAAGATTGAAACGCTACTACTATTTATAGATACAGATCACTAATGTCCTCAATGCACAAGTGTTGGAAATTATGTTCTTCTGTCAGGTCACAAATAAAATTTATTCAAATTATCAAATTAATAACGTGTTTTTTTCAATCAGTATTATGAAAATTATGTGATTACCTTTTAAGACACTGGCAACATGTGATTTTCTTTCATAGAATTGTTTGAATATTTTGTGGCCCTAGCTTCTACATTTCGTGCATTTAGGATCTAAGAAGTATATTTAAGATTTGCAAGGCATGGAAATATTTATTGCCAGATTTATAATTTACAATTTTTGCGCAAGCCCTGGAGTAGTATTTTCATTCTAAAATTCAATTCTTATTCTATAAATGAAAAGGGAGTATGTTTATTTCCATGAAAGGCAAGTTCGTTTGAACAAAAGTGAAGCTTGAAGATTGAACAATAAGCGTTTTTAAATTAACAACAGGGGTTTGTAAATCTGCCGAAAAGTACTTTATGCAGTTGGACAGTTTCGCTGATCTAATATGCATAGACTCATGGTCGATTCGGTTTAAACAGTGAATGTTCATGATATATGAAAATTGTCTGCATCTCGTGCTGTTCAATGGAGCACCAGTTTATTAAATCATGAGCTTCTCATTGGGCTTCAGAAAGCCCTTTCACGTCCTTTTATTTAAAAGGTGTGCCTAAAGAAAATGCTAATTTTGCTAAGGCCATTTGGGACATGTAAGATGTTCTATGAAATAAAAAGCTTTGGTAGGTGATTTTTTTTTTAACTATTGAAGGCCTATCCTCCACCCTTTTTAGCTACACATTATACTGTAGAAAATTGATGCAAACAAGTATAGATAGCGAAATAAACTGTCGGTTTTATATTAAACAAAACAATACCAACACAGCGAAGTTGTTTAGCCAAGTTTTTTCCATTGAAAATGAAAAATGTATCCAGCTTTGCTGGTCATTAAATAATTAGGGTTAGACTAGCAGATATGACCAAAGGACCATTTCAACAAGGGTTGGTTTTATTTATGTAGACAGTTTCTCAAGAGATTGTGAGAAATAAATCAGACCATCAAAGGCTCGGACTATTGGCAGGGTTGCTTGGTGAGGTTTTTCACTGTTCCCTACAGCTAAGCATTTAACATAATGATCCTTGTTATGACTGGAACTGCTTGCTTTATTAGTTCAACCACTGTCAGAATAGTACTTGTGCGACTTAAGCACACATCCTGGTGTCTCATACAGCTAGGCAATCATCACAACCAAACTTTTTCTTCCCCTTGGTCAATTTCACAAGTTAATAAAAATAAGGAAATGTGGAAGGGTTACCAATGATACAACTGTCATTCTGAGTCCCAATTTAGTTGATGTAAAAACTCATCAAAGTTAAAAGGCTTCTAATTTATTCCAATACACATATAAAGCAAATAAAGGTCACTGTCTGGCCATGTCCATATTTATGTTTTACAGAAGAACAATGTCAATGACACTAAATTCATTAGTGTAATAAATTCTTGGGGTTGTCACCTACAAGCTTAAAGGAAAGGGTAATGTGTTTTATGGAACATATTCCTGAATACCCCTCCAACTGGCAAGTCACTTCATAATAAATTATATTTGCTCACAAGGAAACATTCAGCAAGACATTCATTTCACTTTGAATTATTGAATCTTGGTTGTACATGGCTAATTACAATTATAGACATTCATTTTACCTTGCTTATTGATCAACCCATGACCTCCAATCATGGCCAGTGAGTGGAAACAGAGCAGGTGTAGGTAGTGTATATACTTAAATGGATGGCCTTGTTTATCATAAACTGAGGAAAACAGACTAGAAAATACACGACATCTGGCATTGCTATGGTTATTTTTGCAGTTGGTTGCTGGTTTTGGTGTCCTTGTTTAGTTTTATTGCAATAATGATTATGTACTTTTCTGTTCATATCATATCAAACAAAACCAGGTAATATAAATTTGGATATAAATTATTGTTTACCAGATAGTTTATTACAATTAATAACACCATATAATTTTATAGCACTTTTTATTCGAAATGTTTGTGTTTTTTTATTTCATACATTGACGAAGGTCAAAACCTCTATACAAAATGTATAACTCATCTGATAACTGTTATCATTACTCATGTAATCAATTACCTTAACCCCTTGAGATCACTCTTTCAATATACTCAATTTATCAATTTTGCACATGTTAAAAAGACTACAATAAATAATATTTTCCTAAGGTTTTTTCTGTACTGCACATTTTTAATTTCTGTATTTTATTTGAAAATACTTAATGAGAAAAAGCAGTACTCACTTAAAGACTTATTTTGATTACTTAATTAGTTGAATATTTGATTTGCTGTAGTCTGTACTATAGCTGCCACACATTACAACTGGCAGTTTCTTTGTGACTAGAATCTCTATTAGCTATGAAACAGTAAAGTGTCTATTGAAATTATCTCAGTACTAGAACCTTTTTGTAAAAGACGTGAAATTTCTGTAATAGGAAAAATAGTTTTCATTTGTGTTATGTATTGTGCAAAACTGTCGCTCTATATAAATATGATGATCTAAAGTATTAATTGAAAACTTATCTGGTGAAATTCATTATGAGCTCCTTTTTAAATTAAACTATAAATGTTTTTTCATGTCACTTAGTTGAATTTGTTCAAATTAAAAACTGATTAACAGATGTATTTTTGACATTTGCAAGTCAACAAATCAAATTTTTGACTTATACATTGTGCCAATTCTATTACAAATATTTGTACTGTGTTAATAGAGATCTGAAATAATTTAATTTAACAATACAACTGGTTAAGAAATAATATTCATTTATAATGAAAATAACTCTAACAAAATTACCACTAAAAATGTCTCCATTTTAAACAACCATTTAACTTAAAGTCATACATTTCTGAGACATTTGCTCCAGGGTATATGTGTTATTCTCTGAAAACTTTAATTGTACTATACAGTGTCAACCAGTTCACAGATTTACACTAAGACATGTAAAAATTCGTAATCTGAATGTATTCAGTCTTAAAAACATAGGGTATTAGTTTTAATTAAGTTCCTCAAGCCTAAACTGGCTCTTAAATTACAACTAGGGCTTTTCTAGTGGCCAGTGATAGTTGAACGTGTTGCAAGTACAATGACTAAAGTATACACCCATGAATTCTTTATTGACACGACAAAGAAGTATCCTTTTCCCCCTGTTCCTTGAATTCTTTGATTGAGAATCAACAATTTATATATTTAAATTAGGTCATGAACATAGCTGATATGGCTTCCATGGTCAACCAACCACAAAAAAAATAATTTAGTCAATGCACTTTCAACCTATTCATTCTGTTAATGTCATCACATTTGTATGAAAAGGATCCAAACATTCTACATATTGGGAGTTCTCAGTGAAAAGGTTTTGAAGTACAGCAACAAAATGAACACACAAACAAATTATTATTAGATGTATCTCCATCATCCCTGAAATTATGACAAATATAATTTTATAGTACGGAAGTTATGCTAGAGTACATTTGCAGATTTTCAGTATAGCTGTGTAAAAAATGTGTAGGTTTTTCTCTCTCATTTCCTTTGATTTCGACATTACAAAATTCGTTTTCTAATAAGAGTGTCTTCTATAGAAATTTGCTATAGTTTCCAAGTCAAGAAATACTTTTCTTCAAACCCGCACCATTTAAAAAAAAAAAAAAAATTCCAATTTGACTTCATGGAACACATTTGGTATGTGTTAGTGCAAGCAATAAAATCTTGAATTAACTGAATTTTTTACTTGCAAGTTATCTGTTTTGAATTTCCTATTTCAAATTCCAATCTCTGATTTAACAAAATAATTAATGTGCATGTATAAAGTCCATTTGAGTTCTATAAAACTTCAAAAATTACTTATATAAATTGTCATTTTGTATACAATATAGACGGATACACTTCAATAATTTGTTTTTGAAGATTCATAGAACTCACTCAGACAATAAAACAAAAAATATTAAATATCAAAGTTCTTTGGTTAACATTTATAGCAAGTGAAAAGAGAGCTCAAATGGCCTGGGGAGAGGAAACATCAAAATATTTTCATATATGATAAAACTGGCAAAAACCCATTTCAATCAATGCAAAAATTAATTTTATAACACCAAACATTAAATGTTCTTTCTAAAATATCACCATAAGGTCCAACCAATATAAATAAGATTTATAAATATTTGCATGCAAGGAAAAGATCAAATATCCTCACTACATTTTACTCCTATTATCCTCATTTTCTATTTACAAATGACTACTCATTTTTAGGAAGCATACATTTTCGAACTGTTAAAAAGATAGACAACTTCAAGTGTATTTCCTTATGCAGTTTTTGTAATAAAAAAATTGCCAGAAATGTTCTTATATCATTTCAAATGATGAAAATATAAAGTGGCTTAGAGATAATTCTGTCAAATGTAATAAAAAGATTCATCTGTATGTTTTTGATCCAAAAATATGATTTTTTACACCTATGTTGATCTTCCTCCAATAGAAAAACATTAACATATATAAAATAACATACAGAATTTGCACTCCGTAAATTCATTAGTAGTGTACAAGGCAAATAAATACATGTAAAAAATACAAAAATGTGTGAATTACTAGGGCAAACAGAAACCTGTCAAGTATCAAGGTGAGGAAGTATGCAGAGCAAAAATAAACACGTGAATCTCACCCCATGGTTCATGTGAGTAAACTCTTACCACAGGATGCTCAAGTCAATTTTCATAATCACTACTTTTTCATACAACCAAATGGACAAGAGAAACTTTTTAAAAACCCAGAAAAAGTATCTTGAAAATGAATCTGGATTCCAATTATCATAAGGCCAACAAAAATAATAAATGTGTGTTTACAGTAATAGTGAAAATATGTAGTTTTCAGTCTTCATTTATTTGAATATTTATATTTCATTTTGTTCAGGGAACACAATCATCACACAATAACAAAATACAACAATTACCACAGTTTAAGATAGAAATCTAGTTTAGAAAGAATAATTTTCTAATGAACTTATTAAAAAACACAATCTTCTTTAAATCCAAACAAAATTACTTAAAATCTTATGAGTTTTGTCTTTTTCACCAATTCCATTGGCTACACATGACAACTCTGTGTCGAAACATATAACTCAAACATTCATCATGTTCATTTAAAAAAGCCCAGGGTTCTGATAATAAATAGGTTTGGTAGGGTGCCTGTAAACACACATATTTTTAAGGGACCTTACAGGAAAATTTATGAAAATCTAAGACAATATTATTTTAATGAATTTTGACCAAAAAAAATACTCAAAATTGATCTTGTGTTTTTTGTTATTAGAGTAAAGAGTAATTGGTACAGATTAAAAAGTTTGAAGTTAACCGTAAGTCTGTGATGAGCTTATACCATAATCCAGTATAAAATCTCTTTTGGAATTCATTTGGAAATTACACATCAAGAATATTTTATAAAAAAAGAAAACTATTTAAGGTCCAAGCTCTTTCAGATTAATCTATTTCAATCTAAAATTTTGTAAAACTGACTGCCCAGTACAAAGTTGATTGAATAAATTAAAACCTGTAGAAACTTTGGTACAGTACAGTTTGTCCAATCTAGCACTATTCTTTGTAATAACTACAATGTTTTAACAAATCTTTAACAAAAAAAGATACAAATAAGTACGGTCCCATTTAAAAAAGCAAATGCAACTAACATATAGGTCAAGCCATACACACAGACGTTGCTGCTTCAATGTGCTTTCTTTACTGTCAATCAGAAGCACTCAAAAAAAATTTGAAAGCAAAATATGTATTAACACATAGGCCATATGACAAACAGAGAATATCCAAATCCATCTATAAAGCTCAATTGTGAAAAAGATGAGGCAGAATTTACCAACACAGAATTTCTCAAAATATGTATTATAATATACAACTTGCACAGAAATACATGTTAGCTTTATGATTGCTTTGTAAAACAGGACACAGAATTGTTTTAAATGAAAATTTACCAAATGATTAATTATTTTAAGAGAATGTCATACATATTTATTGTTGTTAGGTTTTGTTACACTATTGTTTTCACACTGCAAGAAAAATATGTTGCACATAATTTCTTTTTTCAATTTATGCTATGTTTAGTAAAGCATAACATGGCATTTTTCTTAACAAAAACAAAATGAGATAATTTTCAAGGTTTTATTCAGCATCTGATTGTCCAACTGAATACTGGAGAATTCATCTATGTTCATTTTTGCTGAACTTTTGTTCCATAAATACACAATTGTAAACACTTAAAATCCTTAGACATCTTTCGCAACTCTTACTAAAGTAGCTTCTTCAGAGTGTGAAATGAAGTCAGTTAATGGGTGATGGCGCATGCATCTTAAGGAGTTTATAACGAAAAGCTGCCAGACTCCATCATCTTGCATACATCTTATCACAAAGTATTCCACTATTTCTACGATTCTGCTGTTGTTGTCTGTCTTTGCTGAAAAAATTAAAACCATTAATTATTTCCATATCCTCATGAAAATAAAATTTTATTTTAATCTCGTGTTTTTTTTTTCAGTATACAGTGTAATACCTGAGAATTTCTAGCTATATCTAGTTTTATTAGATACCAATAGGTTAAAATATTGAAATATATGTGAAATTTTTGTTGTCTTAAGCTACTGAATAGAAAATTAAGGGGGTACCCAACACTTCCGAATTAGATTTGGCTCGTTTAATTTCATAAAATTTGGACAAAATATTTATTTTCAAAAATATAGATTTCAATAAATTTGAACCACACAATTAAATTGGACACATAGCAGTTTGAAAACACTAATATTGATCATTAAGAAGCTTGATATCTCTCAAGTTATAACTTATAGTGTGATTAAAACGTTCAGCTGATTTTTAGAGTTAACCCCCTTAGGTGTTCTGTAACCCCTGAAACATGTTAGATATGTCCATTTATTTGTAGTGTTTTGGTCTGCTCAATTTGATTGGACATTAGCTAAGTCCTTCGCTTCAGATATGATTTTTTATGAGAGTTTGTATAGATTGTCACTATCTGTACAGAGGTTCTGTACAAAATATTTATTTTGACATTACATGTTATATTGCTTAAAAGGAAACTAGTATGAACTTGTTTATTTTTATAAGTATATTTTGTGGAGTCTATTTGATTAGAGAGCAGATCAATGAGCATATTACAAATCACTTGAACTATTACTCACTCTATTAGCTGAGCCCTGGCGTTTGTCTAATCCTGCTGCTTCATAATCATAATTATAATCCACCCATCCTTGACTACGATTTCTGTTTCCACCACCATAACCTCCTCCTCGTGGTGGACGAGTCTGTCCTATAAAATTTTAAAAACATAATTCTCTTCACTTTTTCTAATATTTCTATGACATCAACCAATCAATACTTTGGTGTTCATGCTGCTCCTGTCCTTAAAACCAATAAGAATTATTGATACAGTTGACTCCCACCTTATCCTATCTCCACAGTAGAAGATTTCATAATTTTGGAGAGGAAGCAGATTGTGTACTTTAATTCCACAGAATAACAACTGGACAAAATCTCTTGATATCATCGGGCCCCAAGATTTCATTAAAAATGTTTTATGTACAGCCAAACATCTCATAAATCACAAACAATATATAAATACTACATGCAATACCATATAAAAAAAAAAATTCAAGTTTTCATGTTTTTTTATTTATCCCTTTTCCTGTGACTTCCTTAAATTTTCAATATCTTGATGTCAATTTTATATATCTTCTTTCTGTTCTGGTAATTATTAAATTAGCCAAGGAAATTTCAGCCTTCAAATTTTTGAAAGTGTGGGTTATTCCGATAAAACCACAGGATCCTTAAAAGTATTTTTAACAGAAGATAGAACAGTGTTTTCAGATCCTTGTAAGCACAAGTAGTTCATAATTTTCTTAAATAACAACTGAACATTACGAATAAACATTCACTGTATCAAAGTTGTTGAATTTCTAAAATTGTACATTTTTGTCTCGACCACTTTTCCCATGGCACAAAAAAAGGAAAATGAAAGTACTTTTACATTCAAATTTCTTACCTCTGAATCCTCCTCCCCTCGAGTATCCTCGTGATCCCCTGTCATTGTAATAACCTCGGTTGTATCCTCTGTTGTAACCACGGTAACCCCCATAACCCCTGCTGGCAAAATTTCTTCGGTCTTGCATTCCAAATGTCTCAACATTCAACTTCCGCTCTTCTTTCCAACTTGTTCTTGTTGTTCTTCTGAAAAAATTAATAAATTTAAGCAACATTCATTTTATAAGGATATTTTCCTACGATTTACAAACTACATGTACATCTGTATAGTGTTTGATATATAAGTCTGCCAACATAATGTTCAAAAATGTGAAAACTAAGGTTGGTCAATTAGAAACCTTTACTAGATCCTCTTGTCTTCAGTATGCCAGACACATATATAGCACACAATATTATAAACATCCTGCTGATTAAAAAAATACAACTCATCAAATATAGAATATTTCATAGGCTTACAATAACCTGATTGTAAAGTGTGCTTTCCACATATGGCAGTTCAATGAAAATTCTGACCAAATTGCAATTTGTTTGATGAAGTAAAACTGTCCAACTGGTCAGAAATTCAAACCAACTGCTGTAGAATAAACAGTCAAGTCATTAAAGTGCAAAGTGAAAAAAATAATAAAATATGATTTTCTCCCTCAGTGCTCATTTTCTAGCTAGAACACAGTACTGTCAATTAAAAGAAACGAACAATAAACAAGAAATGATTGTAACAGGATGCTGTTACGAAGTCTCCCAAACGAAGCTCCCATAATTCGTAATTCCCAGGGTCGCCTGACATTAGGCAACGTCCAGTGAAAATTAGTTTGGTCCAGTAAAGTTATATGCATTAGTGATGCCTGGGGACTAACCTTGTATATCATTCAAATCATCTTGGCATGACAAACCAGAATATATATGGTTTAGGGGTGGGGATCTCGACCATTTACAAAATACTAGAACATTGGGGGTGGGGAGGAACCCCTGGGGACTGACCGTATACGTCATTCAAATGTTCGAGACATGACAAATAGGAATATATATGGTTTAGGGGTGGGGATCTCAACCATTTACAAGATATTAGAACTTTCTCAAATGGCAGGGGGTCGGGATGACCCCTGGGGACTAACCCTGTTTATCATTCAAACCATCTTCGCATGACAAACCAGAATATATATGGTTTAGGATTGGGGATCTTGACCACTTAGAAGATATTAGAACTTTCTTAAATGGCAGGGGGTGGGGGTGACCCCTGGGGACTAACCCTGTATTTCATTTGATGTGCTTTATCATGACAAACCAGAATATGTATGGTTTAGGGGTGGGGATCTCGACCATTTACAAGATATTAGAACTTTCTTAAATGGCAGGGGGTGGGGATGACCCCTGGGGACTAACCCTGTATATCATTCAAACCATCTTAGCATGACAAATAGGAATATATATGGTTTAGGGGTGGGGATCTTGACCACTTACAAGATATTAGAACTTTCTGAAATGGCAGGGGGTGGGAGTGACCCCTGGGGACTAACCCTGTATTTCATTTGATGTGCTTTATCATGACAAACTAGAATATATATGGTTTAGGGGTGGGGATCTCGACCATTTACAAGATATTAGAACTTTCTCAAATGGCAGGGGGTCGGGATGACCCCTGGGGACTAACCCTGTATATCATTCAAACCATCTTAGCATGACAAACCAGAATATATATGGTTTAGGGGTGGGGATCTTGACCACTTAGAAGATATTAGAACTTTCTTAAATGGCAGGGGGTGGGGGTGACCCCTGGGGACTAACCCTGTATTACATTTGATGTGCTTTATCATGACAAACCAGAATATATATGGTTTAGGGGTGGGGATCTCGACCATTTACAAGATATTAGAACTTTCTCAAATGGCAGGGGGTAGGGATGACCCCTGGGGACTAACCCTGTATATCATTCAAACCATCTTAGCATGACAAACCAGAATATATATGGTTTAGGGGTGGGGATCTTGACCACTTAGAAGATATTAGAACTTTCTTAAATGGCAGGGGGTGGGGGTGACCCCTGGGGACTAACCCTTTATTTCATTTGATGTGCTTTATCATGACAAACCAGAATATATATGGTTTAGGGGTGGGGATCTGGACCATTTACAAGATATTAGAACTTTCTCAAATGGCAGGGGGTCGGGATGACCCCTGGGGACTAACCCTGTATATCATTCAAACCATCTTAGCATGACAAACCAGAATATATATGGTTTAGGGGTGGGGATCTTGACCACTTAGAAGATATTAGAACTTTCTTAAATGGCAGGGGGTGGGGGTGACCCCTGGGGACTAACCCTGTATTTCATTTGATGTGCTTTATCATGACAAACCAAAATATATATGGTTTAGGGGTGGGGATCTTGACCATTTACAAGATATTAGAACTTTCTTAAATGGCAGGGGGTCGGGATGACCCCAGGGGACTAACCCTGTATATCATTCAAACCATCTTAGCATAACAAACTAAAATATATATGGTTTAGGGGTGGGGATCTTGACCACTTACAAGGTATTAGAACTTTCTTAAATGGCAGGGGGTGGGGGTGGCCCCTGGGGACTAACCCTGTATTTCATTTAATGGGCTTTATCATTTAGAACATTTTCAATTAAAAAGATTGTGTCTATCACAAACGGTTTTCAATTTATAATCATTTGAAAATTTCAAAAAATAAAATCCCATAGGGTTCTATAGTAAAACCCTCTTTTCTTTTTGCCCCTCAAAGTACCCCTTTATAAACCCCATTGCACAAACAAAACCCTGATTGCACCACTAGACATGTTAGTCTAACATATTGTGAAACCCTAAGTTAATCTGACAAGCGGTTTTGGAGAACGGGTGCGGACAAGTTCAAATTTAAAAGCGGCGGAAGAAGAAGAAGAAGAAGAAGAAGAAGAAGAAGAAGAAGAAGAAGAATAATAATAATAATAAGAACTGAGCAAAAACAATAAGTCTTCCCAAACTTCGTTTGGGAGACTTAAATATCTGTTTCCAGGTGTTGTGACCAAAATTCCTTACCCTTAATACCCTTTGTAACCTTGATTGAGATGTTCATGCAATAAAAAGTTTTTCAGCAGTGGCGGAACCATGAAAATGAGGTCAAAGATAATGGACATAGCGAGACAGAAAGTTTGTAACAGAAGACATCTGTAAACAATGTACAAAACATCCAAGTCTACATTCTGAAACATAAAGATTTATACTTAAGTTTACAGAGTTCCCCTCCCAATTCATATCCCTATGTATTGCATTCTGTGACTTTTGTTGCAGACAAGACAAAAATGTCATGCAATAATTGTAACTGGATGTTTTGTAGCCACCAATTAAAAAAGTATAAAAGTTGATTGTTTTACCCTTTGGCTCTCTCTGTCGCTTCACAACTAATATTATCAAAGAATGATTTGTTTTTATCGTATGTAATTTCTGGGTCTTCTTCTCCTTCATCCCCTCCATTCTCTACACTATCTTTATCACCATTCACTGTTTTATCACCTACAATATAATTTTTATATCATTTCAATAATTCTACCATACATAGATGAGTTAAGGCCTAAAAAAAAATAATCTGTGTTTCCGGTAACATCATTTTGAAAAAATAGGGTCGGTAAGTAAACGAAATCCGGAAAATTATCATGGTTTTTCCTAGTCCGGGTCCGTAATTAGTTTCAAATACCAGAAGTGCGGCCATTTGCAATGTTTTTGAAGCACCTGCTGTGCAAATTTCTTGGATTTTAACCTATTTTGAATACCTTTTGACATAAATAAAATGTTTTACTGGCTTTCTGTGCCAGTAGAAGCAAGTTAGATAAATGATAATGTCGATTAACAGAACCCTGTGTCAAAAACAGGGTCGGTTGATACCTTTTTTTTTTGAAGATCCAATAAAAAAATTAGGGTCAGGGCTAAAAAAACAGGGTCGATCGGGTTACCGGAAACAGATTTTTTTTTTCTCGGCCTAAGCCAATAATTCTACCATACATAGATGAGTTAAGCCAATAATTCTACCATACATAGATGAGTTAAGCCAATAATTCTACCATACATAGATGAGTTCAGCCAACAATTCTACCATACATAGATGAGTTCAGCCTTTTTCAACTGATTTTTATTGTTTGTTCTTATGTTGTGCTGTTACACCAGTGTCCCAGGTTAGGGGAGGGTTTAGCTCACATGTTTAACCCCGCCACTCTTTATGTGCCTGTCACTAAGTCAGGAGCCTGTAGTTCAGTGGTTGTCGTTGGTACATGTCTGTCATATTTTTCTTTTGTTAATTGTTTTGTTATAAATTAGGCCGTTAGTTTTCTCAATTGAATTGTTTCATATTTTTCATGTCTGGGCCTTTTAAAGCCGACTATACGGTATGGGTTTTTCTCATTGTTGAAGGCTGTACGGTTGCTATAATTGCTTACATCCACTTTATTTGAACTTTGGTGGATAGTTGTCTCATTGGCAATCATACCTCTATCTCCTTATTTTTACATAAGTACTGATTTATGGATTGAAATGTTAAAGGCCAAGGAAAATTTAACAATAATATCATCTTATTGTTGGGTTTCAGCATTCCTGATCATGACCTGATGAAGGTAAATTCAGAAAAGAGCTTCAGACTCGCAAATTAATATACATGATAAAGTGCTATAGTAGTTATGCAAATAAAGCATGGGATCTGAATTAAGTTCATTTTTCTGCAAGTCCTAATACTAAATACTAAGTCCATACCTTCTGCCAGGGATCAAAACCATGAGTTCATGCACTTGATGTGTGCACCCTTCCATTGAGGTGGTTGTACAACTTTGATAGAACAAATTTTTGAAATCACACTTTACCAAGGACGCTAAGACATCTTATTTGGGACAACTGTCAGAAAGTACTACATTGAAAGTGCAAAATCAACATCTTCAGAAATCACATACCTATCACAAGTTTTTCTTTTAATTCTCTTTCTATTTCTTCTTTGTCAAACTGTGCATTAGCAGTTTCAAAATCAAATTCTTCTTCAAATTTAAGTGGATCTCCATGCCTTCCTCCTCTACCCCTAGGTGCACCACCTCTAGCACTACCTCCTCTAGGTCCTCCCCTGTGAGCTCCTCTATTTCCTCCTAAAAACATTAACATGGTTTACTGTTGTTTACTTGAATATTTGAACTGATAATAAGTGTCACAATAGTTTAATCCAAAGCTTTAAATCAATTAAAAGGAAAATTAACTGAATAGATTATCTTTACTGAAATGAATTCAAAAGCCCCATGAAAGGAAGAATCAACTGATCTTGAGCTTCCTAAATATATTAAAGGTTTCCTCAATGCTCCAACATTGTACTTTATTTGGCCTTTCAAAATTTTAGTGTGCCACTGATGAGTCTTTTGTAGACGAAACGTGTGTCTGCGTACAAAATTTTAATCCTGGTATCTATTATGAGTCTATCTTCTTTCTGCTGACAATCATAACAGTCTTCACGCTGAGTGGCAGCCCAGGCAGCCCAGGCTTGTAATATTGCTCTCGGGCCTGTAAAAATCATATCTACAAGCCAACAGAATCTAACTAAAAATTTTCAAAAATTGAGCTCCGGGCCTGTAGATTTAGCAGTTCATCGTGAAGACTGTCATAAGCTTGAAATCTTTTAATATTTTTTTATTCTATGATCATACCGCCTCTTTCATATCCTCCCCTTTCAAATCCTCCTCTCCCTCGACTGCTTCCACGACCTCTTGAGTATGACTGTTGTTGTTGTTGATGTTGTTGTTGTTGCTGTTGAGGTCTCTGTGGTGGAGGTCGCCTAAAATCAGTTCTATTATGAGATTGTTGGCCGGACTGTAATTGTTTCTCTGGACTTCCACTAGGCATCTGTGTACTTTGGTCTAATGTTGGGGACTTCCTATTGGGTTGCTGTGGCGGTGTAGGACCTCGTGACCCTGTAGAGTTAAATGAAGCCTTAGTTATTCTGACCAGAACTTGTTGTAACTTGTGAATGGGACCCAAATAACCAAACAGTATACTGATCTTGAAGCCTGAACTTATCTTCACAAGACTGCTGCATTTTGGTGAAAAAGAAACTTTAAATAAATCATATACATTATCTTGTGCCAAAGTTAATAAGGAAAAAAAATCATTACAAAAACAACACTACACAGAGTTCATGAATATTTCTGAAATAAATTTCAATCATTAAAAAAAATACATTTCAATCTTTACCAAAAAAATTCACAAGAAAAACTGTCAACACAGATTAATGCCTTGCCTGTGAAAGCTACATAAATTTACATGTAATCAACAACTTTAACAATTGATGTACATGTCACAGACACTGGATACAGCACACATGTCTGTCTGACAAAAAACAGCAATTTTATTTATCTTAGCCAAATAAAAATATATGTGTGGTTACAGTTTCATTCAAATAAAAAATAGGGTATAGTAGGGATTTTTTTGTTGGAAGGTGATACTCACTTATGATACATGTAAGTGTATGCTTCTAAATGATACTTGTTTCACTCTTTTCCCCAAGATAGTAATATTTCTCATACACGTCATGTAAATGAATTTAATGGCACTCTTATCTCCATGATCTCTGGTGTTTTCTGGATGAAATTATTCACTGTATCAAAATATAAACCAGAACCAAAGTTTGTTGGTAATAAGGGTTTATCCCTATTTTCCCGTCAATAAACACTTGATGGTCAACAAAAGATAATACAAAATTTAACATGTGATCATGGATGTGTTTGCAAGATTATTATTATTCATTTAATTTGGAAAAAGGTATTCAATTTAAGGTACAGTCGAGCATTTATATAGTATTTATAGAAAAGATTGCAATTAAATATTAAACTTGGGAGAAACTAGGCCATGATGGTTATGTGGAACATCATCTAAATCTAGGGATCATTTTAACCAATGTTTTCTGAAGTTACATCTTTCATATACCAATAAACACTTCTAATTTTTATCAGAAGAAAAAGGGGAAAAAGTGCTAGGGTCTGGGGTTAAAAGTAATGTCTGTTGGGAAACCTGAACCACACATATAAATTTTTATTTGGCCTATTTGTTTAAGTTTTTACAGATCAATTCAGTGAAATATGCAATGCAAGGTTGATAGCTGCAAAGAAGAGTATTAAAATATGGTAAAAAAAAAAACTGAGAACGGCTTGATGTTTTGAGTCATCTGTATATTATTCAGCAAGCACTAGCAGATTTTTATACTTTTATGCAATGTCCATGATGATAAAGCTCTGTGTTATACAATGAAGACTGCCCCATGCAGGTAAACAACTTGGGAATCATGTAGATTAAGGTTTAGGATGAAGGCCATGCTGGCAGTGTAAATGATGAAAGTCACATAGTTTAACAACTATAAATACTGCTGATCAAATTTATTGTCTATAGCTTCAATGCTGAGGGAAACTTCAATTTCTAACAATATATGTAATATTTTCACATAAAAAATCTGATGACTAATTTGATGTTTTTAACAAATTTTAATTTTTCCATAGCAGTAACTATAATCATTATGTCTAAATGACAATAATTTGATGGATATTAGTGAAGATGTTGGGTTATGGATTCATGATTAGTACCCACCACTGGGTCTTCTGGCCGGAGGTGCTCCTCTCATCCCCACTTGTATACCCTGATCCATAGTGGGTGATATACGGTTAAATGTGGGAGAGGGCCCACGTGAACCTAACAAAAATACACAATACTATAATAGTCTTCTATGGACCCATGTGAACTTACAGATAACACACATACAGAATATTTATCAGGTTAAGGATTATGGTTTAAACAATAAATATATTGGATTTAGATAGATTATAATGAAATCTGTTACATCTATGATCTATCATGCCTGTAGGATAGAGAATTTTATTCACAGTTAATATATAAAAAGATACTAATAAACACATAAACTGTTAACACAGAGATATGTCTCGCCTATTTGTTATTTTGATAATGCAAATGTTGAAATTAAAATAGCAATACTTTAACATGTAAGTTATGCAAATATTCAAAGTCAATGAACCATGACTGAAAGTACAGGGCTAAATAATCTCCATGGAAATGAGATGTGCCAATGTTAATACAACTGCAAACCAAATACCAATGTCTTTTCGTAAGTTGTTCCCTTTAAACAAACCTAAACACAAACATTAACTTGTAAACTATGTAAAAGTTTCAAAGTCAATGAACCATAATTAGGGGGTTGGGTTATATAATCTCCATGGAAATGAAACTTGCAAATGCCAATACATTTGCATACCAAATATCATTGACTTTACATTAGTGGTTCATCTTAAACTGACCTAATCACAAACTAATACATGAAAACTAAGCAAAAGTTTCAAAGTCAATAGACCATGCATGAGGGGGCGGGGCCAAATAATCTCCATGGTAATGAGATGTGCCAATGCTTATACAACTGCATACCAAATATCACTGACCTACCACTAGTGGTTCCCCATAAACTGACCTAATCACAAACTAATACATGTAAACTAAGCAAAGTTTCAAAGTCAATAGACCTTGACTGAGGGGGCGGGCCAAATAATCTTCATGGTAATGATATGTGCCAATGCTAATACAACTGCATACCAAATATCATTGACCTACCACTAGTAGTTCACCATGAACTAGACCTAATCACAAACTAATACATTGTTGACGCCGCGGCTGTCCGAAACAGCATACCTACATGTATGTCTCGCTTTTTGACTCTGCCAAGGCGAGACAATAAAACTATAGATCTTTAATTTAACTCTGTTATACATAATAGAATAAATATATAGCATGAAATTGCTCTGATACCCTACAGCCTTTTTGGGTCTTGCTGGGGCCATGGAACACAAGACCACAGTCTAGACAAAAGAACATGGAAATTGTAAGCGTAGACTATTGGTGGCAAATTCTATCTAGAAATCATAATAATTCATATAGCATTTGCATATCTACAAATATGTTGAGTGTGATTTGAATGTGATTGGTCCATTAGATTTTTTTTCTTTGGTTTACACTTCCATAGACCGTGCTGCTGAAATTACTTTCTCAGCCTAGGACCATTCCCTTCCATAGAAGCCAAAAACAATTTGACAAAAATTTCCTTTGCACAATGTGGACTTATTTGTAGATCTCACCTTACTGATTGTATTTTGCTATTTAGAGTTTCAATCCATCTATAATAGTTTTCAAGTAATAGACAAAAACCCTCAAAAAATTGGTTAAAAATCATCATTAAAGGGCAACAACTCCAATAAAGAGTTGACTGACAATTTGGCCACATTGGCTTATTTCTAGATCTTGTCTTGCAGATCATTTTTTAAATTTTCCGCTATCTATTATACTTTTTGAGATAGGCAAAAATGCAAAAAGTTGGTAAAAAAATCATTTATGGGCAAAAACTTCTTTAATTGATGTTACCAGTAGGTAGATCCCAACATTCTGCTCATAGATTTTTTTCTATCAAAAGTGGTTTTCAAAGTAATTACCAAACTTGTTACTCCTTTGGTCTATTTTTAGCCATGTTGGTTAGCAGGTGAGGTCATTAGACACATATTTCAAACTAAATATCCCAATGATGATTTTGCCAAGTTACCTTTGGCCCAGTTGTTCCAGAGATTTTTGTTTAAGTAAATGGTTGATGAGGGATGCCAAGTTGAGAGCAAACTATAACGTGTCAGGTGATAAAATGTCTATTTCAGTGAACAATTTGATTACTTAAATGTTTTATATCATTATTTAGTTTGTGAAATGTATTAATCTATTTTAATGTACATTTATATCACCCAACTTGTGTATTTCTAGACATCTACTTCATATGGTACACTGACATTTTTGCACATGGCTTTATTTTTGTTTAGGGTCTTTCTGTTTATGCTGGCCAAAAGAGTTATAATTACTAGGAATAGTTTTATTTGGACTTACCTGATTGTTGTTGCTGAATGCCACCAAAAGATTGTGGTGCTGAAGGACCATACTGATTATACATATTTTGACCACCAAATGGTTGATATGATGGGTTATTCCCATAGTTGTTACTTGCTGCCGCTTGCTGTTGGAAAGATGATTGAGAAGACTGAAAGAAGATTACAGACCTTCACCAGAAGGCTTAAAATCAGCACTTAATATTGACTTTTTTTTTAAATACCTTTACGGATTAAGCAATTACAGGTAAATAAAAAATATTTCAAATATCAAACCTTACTGCTTCATTGTTAATAAAATAAATTTCAATGAAGATGTATTTCTTTACTGATAGTGAAAGCCAAGTTAGAAAGATTGACTACTGTGAAGTATTCTGTGGCTATAGTAACAGGATTTAAATCTCCATTAATATTTGGCATTCTTATCCACCCAAATTACACACATTTGATTTTAACTAAAATTATTTCATCATGATGTACAATTTTGAAAATAATTTTGTGCATTTTTTCATAGTTTTTAAATGTTTCATAACTTTTCATATTTAAGAAGAAATTCAAATAAATGCATTTCATTATGTTTGTTATTCTTGGTAGTTGGATACTATTTATTGACACACCCATATAAATCTACCAGTCTTTCATGAAAGGGCTGTCTTGACTTTACTTAGAAAAGAAAAAAAGACAATATAAGTGCAACCTCCTTGATCATGTTGATATTTACTTGTCTATTTTATTCTCTATATAAATTGTTTAAAATCTCTATGTGATACAAACTTTGACAATAGCAGGATCTTGTGGTAAGGATGTCTGCAGAGGTTGTGGTTTTGGTGGCTCACAGACATGTAGGTCTTTGATATCACTGCCTCGAAATATTATATATTCAAATATTTCATCTCTTGGTGCCACAGGTCGATCAGTTGGTCGGTCTTCAGTTCCAAATGAACGAACTGTTAAAAAAAAGAAAGAATAATCAATGTTCAAGCTACATCAAAGGCCTAACACATGCTCTACTCTGTCTTACCTGAATCCTTGCCTTATTACAGCAAATGAACATACGATTATTGTTCATGGCTCACAGTACTTCAGAACTATAGGGAGAAGTGACTTCTCTTTCTGAAACTGAAAGGCAGAAGTGGTGACTCTCTTTCTGAAACTGAAAGGCAGAAGTGGTGACTGGAAAGAGAAGTGCTGGCTCGCTCATGGCACTACAATGTTTGGTTTTTACTATAATATAAAGGGCCATATGTATCCTATTTATTTTTTTTCTATATTTTTCAATTCATACCTGTCTATACAATTAAAGTAACATATGTTTCAGTTTGTCTTAAATAATCATCTAAAGTTGCACAACTATATTTTTGTTCTTGTCAGAAAATACCAACTGAATATCTAGCAATAAAAAGATTTTTTTTTAAATCAAAAAGGAAAAGAAGTATCATATATCAATTAAAATTCAATTAAAAAACTATTCTGTTGATCATGTTTATGAAATTCATTGTTTCTCATTTCAAGATATATAAATTTAACAAAATTAAGCAACTTGAATCAATAAATTGAAACAATGCATTCACATGGAAATATATACATTTCTGTCGGGTATTAGTCTCCTTCAACAAATTGAAGAATCTGCTATATTAGCACAGAGATCCAGCCGTAACTGTTAATGCATGTTAAATGTACAATTTTACCCTTTTGGGATCATTATTCTTGTCAACTGTGCCATTCATGCGTCTGTAGCTATTATCATAAGAACATAGATTTTTGTTAATAGCTGATGGGCTTCCAATGAATCCCACCTCCTACTATCCATATTTCGCACAAAAATTTCAATGACGGACGAAGAAATATTTATGAAAATAAACGAGATTCAACAAGCGATTTGAAAAGCAAGACGACTCTATTAATGCAATAAATGGATTATACATTTAACTAAAGGCAATTTTCATCAGATTCTTATGAAGAAACAAAATTATTGTGTTGAAAATCATAATGTTTCATGTATGCTCTATAGTAACAAGTATAGAAATAAAAGAAAATACTTCAATAAAAGTTGTCTGTTTGAAATAACATAAAAACAATCTGTAAGTCAATGCTTTCACCTCTTTCCTAAAGAAATGTCTTTACATGTCTTTGAATTTCTTTACTTATAAATGAAAAATTGATGTTTCTTCGACTTTGTAAAATTGAAAATTGCTGATGACGAAAGCAACTGTTGTGAACATCAGGGCAACTTAATATCACTTTTGACGGTCAGGTGCCTTACTTGATGTATATATGGGAACTATTGAGGTCAATGAAACAGCTTCACATAATGTGCAAGCGGTAAATACTGTATGTAAAATGCACAGAAGTACAATTTTATAATAAAAAAGATAAGCATTTCACCAATAATGAAAACCTATTTAAACAATTCTGTTGTTTTATTTTACACACGTCAATAAAAAATTTATTCATAGAATGATAACATTCTTTTTTTGTAATTGTGCAATGTGGAAGTGCCAGTAAACAACAGACAGACCGAACGTTGTTTAAAATCTTTAAATTGAAAGAATTAAAAACATCTACGAGACAAATAATTTATTGAATTTAACATTGTGACATGTGGAAAACAGCTAATCATCATTTTTAAGGGTTTCCTGTTCTTCCAATATTGCTAATGTGTGACCCAATAATTTCATATTTTGAATATCAGCAACATAACATGCATAATTCAGATCGACAAATTGCATGAATTTGCTATGCAACTAACCGAAGTCCATTCTATTGCTGCCAATAAAGAATGGTTATTCCTAAAAACTTTATGAACAGGGAAGAGAAAATAAAACTTTCAATATTCGCTTTGTCCGAAGTAAAAAAAACCAACACTGTCAGCGAACCTGTTTCTTCTTTCACAGAAAAAAGAAGAAATATCAAATAACAGGGCAATACATCAAATTTGGTATTAGAAATCAAGACTTACTTTTTGATAGAGGATATCAAGACTTTAACTGTCTCAACTTTTTCAAACTGGCAACAAAATCTAGCAGCTGGCAATTTTTCTGGGTTTAATTTTTAAGAGCCAGAGCAGCCCCTGGAAATATCATTGATCCATCAAAAGTAGTTCTTATCAAACTGACATTAGCAGAAAACTTTACCATTGGTGCTGTGGCCGCCGCTGTCAGTAGCACATATGACTGACTTTCCATGAATTTTGTTGCAGTAGTGTTTCCTATAGGAGTTATTGGCGTGGTATGGCACCCTGCCGTGTTTTCTTGACGCCCTGCCCTTTTCAGGAATTAAATTTGGCGCCATGCCCCTTTTTTCGTCGTATTTTAGAACGCCCCACAGTAATTTAATATCGGTTCTGCAATTCATCTTTCAGCAATGCAAGACCATTTAAAGTTATTTCCCTTGGGAGGAAATCAAAATTTTAATGGCCGACATTTTAATAAATTTTTTGTTTGTTTGAACAGTTTTGAAGCGACAGAGTACAAATACGGTTCTTGATTGATTCTTATAGGGACAACATCGATTTGTACCTCTACGCATTTAAAATGTAGACAATTTAAAAGGAAACCAGGCGATCGCTTTGAGTTATAATTTTACGATACATGGGACATTACCACTGATAATTAACATAAACAATCCGATGTTTGTTAATATTTCATTTATACTATTCGGCAGTCAAGACATCGGATTGGGTGTGAATTTACGATGGCTTTCATATTGTTGTTATCTAAATAAAATTAAAGTTTAGAATAAAGATGATATAGTTATGAATAGTACGAAAAATCAATGTTTCAATAATTTTGCCAGAATATTCATCATGTTGAATGTGGGCAGTATTTGAAGATAAAAAAAACTCCAAAAAAACACAGAATTAGATGGAAAAAAATGAATAGCACAAGCATATGAATATTAAGTAAGTCTTGCTATAAAAATCCTTAAATAGTCTAAAACTACATGTATTTGTTCAGTTATGAGCCAAGGTAGCTTTGATTCTTATAAAAGTGGAATCCAAAAGGTATTCGGCACCTCTTTTGTACAAATAAAAAGCAATGCAATGCATATGCTATTGGTCATGCAAAGTCCACTTTCACAACATTTCCTTAGACAATCAGTCTCAGTGATCAGGTATTAAAGTTTATAACTGGAGTTATTGATTGAAATCAGGCAGTTTGACAATCTTTACCAATTTATATGAAACAAAAGGATATTCGTTTCAATCCCTATTCATAACAGTGCCTTTATATCTATGTAAAGAGTGCACTAAAAGTGTAGTCCTCTGCACAAAGGGTACCCTTAAAGTGTAGCCAATCGCGCTAAGAGTGCTCTCTAAGAAAAAAGTTACCCTGCCCTTTTCAAAAGCTGCAGGAAACACTACGCAGGCGAGACAAAAATAAAAAAGTATTTTTCTTTCTTCTGATACTTGTGAGTGTTAGATTCTGATTTTAACAAAAATAAATTTGTAACTTCAATGAAACAGTATTTATTTTGCTGTTTGTTAATGTTTTATCCTATTTCTTGCATCATATTCTTTTCCAAATCACTTGTCAAAGATTGTTTATTTTTGTAAATTGTTCTTAGTCCACCATAACAAAAATATCTATATTCTTATGATATCTACAGTCAATAGTGTTTCCAATAGGTTTTGGTGTGGTATCATGGTATGGCACCATGCCTTTTTTCCTCGATGCCATGCATCTTTAGGGTCATATTTAATAACACCCTGCTGTAATTTAAAATTGGTTCTGCAATACATTTTTTCAAACTATTTCCATTACGTAAAGCCATGAAATGGTTTAAAAATGTATATTTTTAGTAGCTTTTGTGTATGTGCAACTGATCTTCCTTTCAAATGCAAAGCAATATAAAAGTGGTTTAATGTCCTTTGACTTCATAAAAATTCTAGTCCTACCCCAGGAATAGATTACCCAAGATGTATTTGACAAAATCTTATGTAAATATGCGTTTTCAATGTTCTTCAATTTCATACTTTATCTGACTTTTAACCTTTTTTGATTCAAATGTCACTGATGCGTCTTCTGTAGACAAAATGTGCATAGGTCATGAATGCTTTCCTGCATAATAATGTGACAAGCTCAGACGTCATTTTAGCATGAAAATATAACAATGTTAACTTTCAATGTGAAAGTGAGGGGCTTCGTTCATTGTCGTTTGTAAATTCAAAACCTCTGTGTGCAAAAAAACCCTATCGCTTTTGTCTATACTATAGTTAGGTATTCACTTTTCGGTTAGGGTTATATTTGTGCACTTAGATTGTGTGCGTGAACGAATTGCGTCGCTTCTAGTGTAAATATGCGTTTATTTTTGGCTGCAGAGATTAATTTTACAACATGCATATATTTCATTTTCTGGAATGCTATCTATATTACCTTTTGCTAATGCAACTGTCGATTCATTCGGATCAATGGTATATAAAATACCCTCATATCGAATTCCTGCTTTAGAAATAAGACTTATTTTGCTACCAAGATATGGAATCCCCCCACTCATGATGGCAAGAAATCTCTATACTTTCAAACAAAGGAAGATGCCAACGGATTTAATCTGCTTCATCCAGAATATTGTATCAGCAGAATATTAAGATGGCGGATGTTTTGATTCTGTCACGAGAGGGCGTACTTTTGAAAAAAGTGTCCCACAAATCTGTGATTTGCGCCTGCGTACTTCAGTCTAAAAATTTACTGCTAGGGAAATGGCGGCTGTCAACCCTCTTGATGATATTCTTAATAGTTCTGTAGATGAACTGGCAATTAATGCCTTAGTTGGCAATTTAGAAGCTCGCCTAGCTTCCCCATCCAATAAGGATGTGTCTAATTCTTTATCAGATGCCTCAGTCAATAACAATCACATTGGCACAACAAGGTCTTCAACACCACAGAATACTGTTTCAGTGTTCAACACGGCTACAGGAGTAGGTGCCAATGGACAAGCTGTATCAGCTCACAAAAACTTCACAAACTCTCATAATTTAAATGTTCAGTCTCCCTCCTCAAAAACAGACTCACAGTTGATTGGAATCAATTCAATATTAAATCCTATAAACTCATCACAAACAAGCAATATTGTTAATACACATGTGAACTCCTTGACAGTGAATAGAAGTTCTCCAATACCAGAATCAAATCGTATTCAGTCCCCTCACATAATAAGAACAGTATCAAACTCTCCAGGTTTTCAGAATGCAAGGAATTCACCAGTTCCATCGCCAAATTCAAATCCAGCCATTTCCGCAAGTTCGCAGCATGCAATCAAACCAGACAATAGTGCTATTCAAAATGTTGCAATATCAGGAGATCATAAACCTTTAATGTCACAAGGAAATTGTATTCAAGTATCATCTAGTCAACAAATTCAAGTTGGACAAAATATGTGTGTTAAACAAGAACCAGCAATAAGCTCTCAGTATATTGTCAAAACCGAAAATATTGCTGTATCAAGTGTGAAAAATGAACCAAGGACAGCAGCTATACAAGCAGTGACAGGACTTCAAAATAGTGTATATACATCAGGAAATCATATTACACATGCAACAAATGTTCATATTGTTAATGCTCCAATCAAAGGACATTCAGGTGTTATAACGGTGAAAACAGGGCCACAACATGTAGTAATGCGACCACAAATTGTACAAAATGTGTCAAATTCAGGACAAATGCAAGTTGTTAATGTTGGTGCTCATTCAAATAGACCACCTGGAATTGTACAGGTGCCTCATGGAAAACACCAACCAGTCCGTATAGCTACACCAGCTCGTCACTCTCAAATAAACATTGCTCCAAGACCTGGTGGTGCACCAGTAAGTTATATATCTCTTGCTACAATCTGACATTGTTTATTTTATTTAGACTATCTCACTTCAATCTGATATGTGCATGTAGAAGAGTTAACAATTTTTTGATAGAAACTGTAATTCATGAGTACGTGCATGTATCTGTGGGAGAAATATGTAAATGTCTATGAAAGTTGTGAAAGATATAGCCAATAATTAATGTTTGGTGGTCAAAAGACCTCCTGTAAGTTGTAACATTCTTTGCCATGATTTCATACAAATGTATAAGGTAACTCCCTTTTATCAGTTTAACATGTTTAAGGGCACAAACAATTATTCATGCTCAAGCCACAGAAATATACATCATGTACATGTACATCTTTATTTTACAATTTGAAGTACACATAAAATAATGAGGCTATAGTAAAGCTATCACCATAACTACATGTATCTCTAGATGGGCAAATTCTAAAAACAAAAATGTACAATTTATTTATTATTTATACATGAATATATATAAAGCTATAACATTATCATGGAAAATAGAATAGGAGGGTCTAAAGCTGTACAACTATGCAGATCAAAGGGAGATAACACCTGTACAGTTTTCTAAGGCCATGCAAAAAAGATTGCTGGTTTCCCCTCACCTTGCAGGGTCTAGTCATTTCTTTTTCTTTAAACATTAAAAAAAGAGCAAGGCTATGTTTTAAGACAATTATTAAGAATGCATTAATTGTCAGATAATTTTTCTTTAAAGACGTGTAATTTATCATTCTTAAAGTTTAAAATAGCTTTAATTTAATATAAATATCACAATATAGGTCAAGATATAATGTCAAACAAAATTTGTTTTGAAGAATTTCTTGTCAGTGGTTTTAGATAAAGTTATCTGTAGACTGTATGTGCCTCGTTTAATTTTTCACCCTAAAAAATAAACTAAAAAATAAAAAAGTTTTTTCCTGCCTGCCGACCCTGTTAAAAAAATTTAATGTTAGGTGAAACCTACATTCAATTTTCAATGGCCTCAATATTAAAAAAACAACAAATGAATGAATGAAAGTTTCCTCCATTTTGATCATATTTTGTGCATAGTAAGGTGCCTGTCATTTAATTAGATATCTCTTGCTGTAGGTAGTGTTAAGCCATTTTTATAAGGGATATATATATGCAAGAATCTGTCTTGAATTCAATTTAAATGACTGTGCTAGAGGATAAAATTAAAAAGAAACATGAAAAAAACTGCCTTTTATACATGTAGTTGTAAAATTTAAGTTGATGTACATTTAGGTTTTGTAATGATTAAAATTGTTTTTTTAATACCTAAACTGCAAGCATGGTAAGCCTTCAATGCTAACGAAACATCAAAGATACTGAATATAAAGAGATAGGCCATTTTCAAATGTCTTTCACAGCACAACAAAATATTGTTTTATTGCATTTAATGGTAAATAAGGACATTGTGGCTAATCAAGCCCAAGTTCATACAGAACATCCAAATGCTTTATAACAGAGATTTTCATTATAACAGCTCTCAAACATAGTTTACTCACTTTTGCTATTGGTTATAATTATTATTAACAAAAAGTCCTAAGCAACCTTTACAATTCCAAAAAAATATCCTAAGTAAAAAATGTAGAATGCACCCAAAAGTGTACTTGAATACATATAGGTCCATATTTGTAATTGTTTTTAACTAAAATCTTATGTTTAAAACTTGTTTTGAGGAAATCATTGGTAGAACAGCACACAGTTTATCCTCCACTAATTAAGTACCAAATTGTTAAATAGAGTAATAGAAGTACTGTGGATTTTATTAAATTCCCATATATGTATCATTGAAACAACAAAAGTCTTCATAATCCTTAAACAGTGTTGAAGGCTGTATAGTGCCAAGTTAGTGGCCTAGAATTGTTTACATCTACTTCATTTGAACTCTGTGGATGGTTGTCTCTGACATAGGCAATCATAATACATCTCCTTATTTTTACATTAAATGATAATGAATAAAATGACACTTTATATATGTTAGTAATGTTGAAAAGAAACATGGAGTACTTTACATTCAGAATAGAAGATTTCAGGACCCTTGACCATGTTGACCAGTGAGTGCTAAAATTAGTCCTAATGATAGGTTTCAATACTTGATACAAAGACCAAGCATGGTTTTTTGCATTTTAAATAATACATATAATAATTGAGGCTGAATTAATGGCATTGAAGCAAGAGTAATTATACCTTATTTTCGTACAAAGAATATACTGTTAGGTTTTTAATGCATTCATAGAAACCCTGCAGAAATTTGGCAATTGCAACATTAATGATTTATATGATTTAGATCAATTTTCCTTTTATATTTGGTTATGTAGTTTATGTTATATACATTGTATCTAATCCGACCTTAAACTAATAAATTAAGATTTCCTATTTACTTTTTTAGAATACAATTACACTGCCACCTGGTGTGCAAATTCCTCCTGGGACAGTACTGATGAGAAATGAACAAGGTCAGCTGATGTTTGTTCCGGCTTTACATGCATCTCAGCCACCCTCTACACAAGGCCAAAGAATACAGTATGTCAGGGTATGTATTGATTGTCTGCCCCTGTCAGAGATTAGAATTATTTGAGAGTAATAATAATAAAAGCCAAATAAGCATTGAATTAACATTAATTATTTCAAGCCAGCTAGATAAGCTGATTACGTCAGATGGAGCTTTGATTGCCTCATTCTCCCCAATATACTTATCCAATCTCACATTCTCTTTTAGAAAACATTTAGTCATTGTCTACATGGTGTAGTTTATCTTCTGCTTGGCTTGATGTAGTCTTTATTTTACAAGCAAAAATGTAAGTATGACATCGTTAGACAATAGGCATGATAGGTCAACACACATTTGTACTTTGATACTTTGATACTTTGTATTCTAATGTATTTCAATTTACATGTACATGCATTCTCGTTGTAGCCACCTGTAAGCTCACATCAGCAGCGCCCTCCAAATTCACAGATTGTAACTATTCAACCACAACAAGCACAACCTCCGAGGGTAGTCCGACCAAATACTCAACCATCAGTTACTTCATCAGTTCCTACAGTTGTTTCTCAACCACCATCTGCAAGTCAAGGTAGATAACTCAAAAAAGCCAAGTTAATTTTATTTCAACACTTGTACAAACAGGTGATGTATGAACAAAAAAGAATAGTAAAGATAAACACTATTACAGGTTTATTTAAATGGGATATGATTTAAAATCAATTCACTTCAAAATGACTAAATGACAGTTGTATAACAGACTTTGTTTCCTGGTGCAGTGATAAAATAAATTGTTTGCAGTCTCTTTTCTGCCTATGATTTTCAGCCAAATATCATCCCTATTCCCAATTCAAATTTAAACAGTTTTCCCATTGATAATCTGCCCATGACCTCTAAAATACAGTCTACCACATCATCTGTAAATTTCATCAAAATATCTTGTGTTGATGTTATTTTGATTCAGTATTTCAAACTATTTACACATCAGTGCATTTTGTAACTCAACGTCATAAACCAATTTACACATCATATAAATTTTCTGGTCCTTGAAAAGCTAATTCATTGTGAGCAAAGGAAAAATAGGTGCCACTTTTCAGATTCAAGCCAGTATAAAAACCTGTCCATGTGTCCATCACAGCATAAGAGAAAATTTATATACAAGTAAGAAAGATGGTGCAATAGATGTATCCATTGGATTGATTAAATGCGCCAAAGTAACTGGTTGAACTAATGTTATTAGCATAAATTACAGCAATTTAAACAATAGCATACAACTTTGAACTTATCAGAGTTTTACCAAACAAAATTTTTCCTGAATTCTT